TGCGCGCTGGAGTTTCTAGAAGGATTGTGACTTAGCGGGTAACCTCACGAATGTCCCAGCGTTTGCTAGACGCCTCCTGTTTTAGTATATAAGCCGGAGATAGATTGAAGAGAAATTAATTGAGTCAAGCGAGCAGTAAGCACCGTAAGTAAAGTGTGTGAATCGCTGTGATTTATAGCGTGTGTTATAAGGTTAATAAGTTTAAAGTGACTGTGGAAATTCTGTGTATTACAAAGTTGTATCGAGAAAGAATAAACTAGTTTTAATTAAGAAAGGACTTGTATCGCTAAAGTTTCTCGGAAAGAATTTCTACTGGAAATTAACAAACAAGCAGATACGCAACAATACTTTGTGGTAAGATGTTTAGTTAAATTATTGTAAGCGTTCGGAAATAACAATAGTTTAAATAAATAGATTAAAATTGTTCAAATTATTTGTTTATTATTAAGCACAAAGGTACACAATATGCTATATGTGCTGTGCCCACTACGAATATCAAAATTCGGTTTTTAGAATTATAAGCCTTTAGACTTGTCGTTGGGCAACTGGGGGTCTGAGCCATCGGAGGGAAGATAAAATATGTTAAAGTAGTTAACATGAACATTGTTACGTGCTGTTAAGTAATCATTGGTATCAACAATTTAAAGTAATATGAAGTATTATTTGTGTAGTATGCACATTCCTTGAATCAAGTCACTAAGAAAATTTTTAACAACTCGACTTTCAAGATCTACATATCTACATGTGCCGACGTTTCAGTTTATCAACGTTATATTTTAAGATATGTGCAAGAACTCACCTAACATATAGTTACAATGATCAAAACCAGTAATCCCATTACCCGTGTTTAGTCCGGTCGTCACACTACGACTATATTCTGAACCCAAAATTATCGTCCACCCAATGTTTATCGGCAATTTTATGTCTTTCAGACCTATTGATTAAGGATCTGCATGATGCCACATCGGCACCCTTAAATAAATATGAAACATCCAAGATGACTGCCATGACATATAATTGACCAATCTTCACTTCTATATCAGTTAAAACAATGATTTGGGTGTCTATTGGCTGGTATTTGGAGGTCAAGTAATTAATTACCAACTCAACTAACTTCTAGAGGCATATAACGAGATTAAGATAGTTATTAATAAGAATACTGATGCAACAATCATGAAAGTCTGAGTTTAGACACACTGATTAGGATTATGTGAACACAAGCAGCGAGAGAGAGAGAGAGAGCTTTCTTGAAGTGCTACAGGATGATTTTCTATACAAATTGCCCATTATACCAACAATGAGGGATGCAAATTTAGATTTATTGTTAACTCCTAATGAGGATTTGATTAAAAGAGTTAGAGGGGGGGGGGACATTTTCTGAAGTATAATCATTGAATATTTTAGTTTCATCTTTTACTACTTGCCAAAAACAAGAAATTAACATTTTTTAACTTTCAAAACAATCATTTTGACTTCATGAGTCAAGATTTATTTTTAGTTAATTAGGATAATAAGGTAAAAGGTGACATGGGAGAGTACTGAAATTTTAAAAAATAAAATGCTTGTAAACCAAGGTGGGTATGTTTGTAAAAAGGAAGAAAAATATAACAGTGAAGATCATAGTTAACTGGCTTACTAAAGATATAAATGGAGAAAATTAATGATAAACAGTAAAGGCTTAAGAAGATTTATGGAACTAAACAAAGTTAGTGCATTTGTTAAAAGATAAATTATGAATAAAAAAAGTATTTATGTGAACAGCTGTCTCGTGATATTAAACTAATAGCAAGA